TCTAGAAAAAATAGCACCAAACTTGAATCCAGAAAACCTAAATTTTTACTCCACCCCTCCTAACTTTTGGCTATGTAATTTTAGTAAAATCACTTAAAACCAGTTCTTATGTGTTCTGAAATATGAGATTATGTATACATTATTTGAAATTTCATTCAGCAATGAGATTATAAAGTCAAGAATTGCTTGTTCCCATTATTATTTTAATAAGATTATAATTATCATTATCATCTTAATTCTTCTATGGATGGATTAACATATAATAGATTTTAATTTCCTATCAACAAACCATTTGTTAAAAATAAAGAGGCTTGGCTTCATTGATGATCTCTGTGTCGGGGGCATTTGATCTGATGAGTGGATGGATGGGTGTTGGCACGAATGCATGGGATGGAAGAGAGTCAGAGAGAAGACGGTGAGGACACAGAGAGACAAGCAAGAGAATAAACCATACTGCTTCAACAAAACAGATTCACTGTAGAAAGCACCTTTGAAACGTTTATTTTTCAAAGACTATTTACATATATAGGGCAAAATTCAGAGTAAAGTTTGAACCCAGTGACTAAAAAATGATTAGTTGTCTTTGATTTTATTTGCAACTCTGAATATTGACCATGCTTGTAGGGAGGCATGTTTCATACTTGATGTTTTGCCATTTTAATTGATGTCACTTTAATTGATAATATTTTAATTCTAAGTTGATCATGCCAGAGTAGTGTAAGACATGATGATACTTGCTTGTTTTCAGTTTTTAGAATCATTCATTTTAAATGTTCTTTGGTTTGTTACTCATATAAGTGAGTGATATCGATCTTTCTACCAACCCTGTATGTAGAAAAATATCAAAATGTTTCTCAATATTTTTAGAGGGAATTCCGTGTTCAATAAAGACATTTTCTTTCCTTCCTTATCTTCCTAGCTAAATAGGGTTTTCTCCTCTTCTTGTATGTATAAGAAAAATAGAATTTAAAGATTCAAACTAAAAATACAAATGTATGGTGAATATTTTGCTGAATAATTTGGGTCTTCTGGAGTCATGATAATGCCTGTGATTATAAATTCACAGGCAAGTACATTTGTAAGTATGCTTTCATTTTAATTTAGATATAGTGCCAAATGTCATGTATTTCAATTTATTTTATTTTATAAAATTATGCCTAACTATATACAAGGAAAGTTTAATCAGTTACTATTTCTTGAATAGCTAATACATTCAGAATCCCTTATAGACACTCAAAGCACAAAAATAGTTCCTGTGGCTCAGGGGATTGTATTCCGTTAGGAGACGTGGAACACACTGTGGTGAGGGAACATCACGAGAAAAGACCTGGAGATGGAAAAGCTTAGAATGGTTTTGAAAGTTATTGAATTGGTTGGGTTAGTAACTTCTAAAAGTTTTGTTTTGCAAATATATTTTTAAAGTTAAATTTGGGTTAAAGCTTTTTGTAGTATAAAACATTGACCCATGAACATGACCCTTCACAACAATAATAAATTAAGACATCGCCACATTTTTAGTATTACTATAAACTATAATTATTTCCTTTCTAAAATAGATAAGTACACATGATGTAGTTTGTATTTAAAAACATGCATGTATATCCACCCGTACATGGGACTCTCTTAGTATAAGTAAAGCCTTTCTCTTTCCCTTCCATTAAATAAACAGATCATCATCCCTTAATAATGAAATGACTGGTTACAAATTGGTATAACAAGAGTACTTAGAAGGTGATCTGTTTTTCTTCCTTGCTGTTCTTCCCTCCAGTCTGGCCAATGAAAAATGTGAATAGTGTATAGACATAACTTACTGGGTTGTTTTCAGAGTACTTGTGTTTAATACAAACTGCTGCATCTATGCTGTTGGTACAGAGCCAAATTTAAGATGAGATTTTTATAGCTGAAGAAAGTAAACAAATAACTGAATTTGAAATGTTAGCTAGAATTGCCTACTCTTTGGTTATGCTATGTGAAGTAAGATGGACTTTATGCTGGGCATGACCTTGCTGTTTGCGAAAAGATCAAGTGCTTCTATTGTGCATTTCCTTTCATTCTATCTTAAGTCAGCACAGAATTGACTCATTTGCTATCATTTCTACAAGCGCCAACCATTTATTAAGCCAGGTTTAAGGCAAATTTAAGTGTTCTGTCAGGTGATAGTAAAATGTTTCCATTAAAAATGTATTATCGGTAAAAAAAATGTATTATCAGTACTCGCTAGAAGTCAGTAATAACATCACCCTACATATAACAAGGGTGATTAGAGAGTCTTTTCAAAGACACATTTAGAAGCCATGACAACTATAGGATCACTGTATAAACATAGATAATGTCTTGTGAATACAAATTTAGATTATTTAGTTTAAAATGAACTCATTTTACATTTATATCACATTTTCTACAAACTGCTAAAGGAATTTGTATATCTGAATATGATAATATTACATTTCAATGCAATGATGAATCTAGATCTGATAAGAATTATCACAAATTAAAATAAGTCTTCATGAAGTTGGCTTAAAATTAGTAAAATAAATCTAATGCTTTTTGCCTAAGTATTTTACCAAAATCTTAATTTCTAAGATTAAAAGTAAATTTCTATATGGTTCCTATATAAAATAGGTAAAAAATTAATGTCTGTTGTGAACATTTAATTGTACAAAATGTTAATATTCTGGTTCATAGCTACATAATATAATTGGGAAGTACATACTTTATATCAGTTTTTAAAACTTCTTCATCCCTTTCTCATTCTATTAGTCATGGGCAGGTGTTCAAATTAGATAAGAAACAAAAAGTAAGGGGTGAAAGAAGCAGGTCAAAGGACTCAGCATGATCCAGCAAACTTGGAAGAGTAATGATAAGAGAAAGCCAAGTTCACAGAGACATTCTGCCTCCTGTAGCAAAAATTAGTCCTCGCCCTCTCGGGATGAGGCTACTTTACAGTAAAGAGGTCAAAAGAAAGATGCCACGCTGGTCAGAAATGGACATCATTTTCACCCTTGCTTTATCAGGTGTTAAAGGTCTTAACTCTAATGATAGTATATGTTTAATGTCCTGATCTGTCTTTTACTAGAAGGCTTGGGAATTCAGTCATAGTTGTTTGTATACAGTCAACACAGCTGATAGATGCATGTCTGCCTTATCTGTGTGTGCATATATAGTCTGTGTATATCTCTTCCTGTATGTGTGTACTTATATGTAGAAAAGATAATTTATATAAAATGACAATCTCATTTTATATGTTCAAACTACAATGAATATTATTGTCAAGAAACATAGATTATGTGTATGTCCACATATATGTAGGCATGTGCATATATAGCCACTCCCTTGTCATGTAATTGACCCTGAGGTGTGTGTCCTTTTTTGCCAGAAGGGAATTCATTGGATTTATTCAAAAAGGCAAAAGTGCATTGAGATAAATATTTATAATTATAAAGTAAACAATGTGTAAATGTGTGCATGCTTAGTAGTCAGAATGAATTCAAATAAAGCATGTAAGGCCAAAGGGGAAAAATTTCCCAGATTTGTGACAGGATCTTCATAAAAATCTTTTATTCCTTATCTATATACTATTTGGAAAGCAGCAGTATCCCATCGTGATTCAGAGCAAGGATACTGAAATCAAGGAAGCAAGGGCTCTGTCCCTTACTGTGGGACTTTCTGTATACTGTTTGCACTGAATCTTAAATTTTTTAATTGAGTATATTGGGATGACACTGGTTAACAAAACCATACTGGTTCCAAGTATACAACTCAACAAAACATCAGCCACACGCTTCATTGTTCACCCATACACAATATTTTATGACTGTATGTATATGCCATTGTATACATGTGCATGTCACATCATAATTTTAAGGACTAAATAAGATACTGTAGTATGGAAAATTAATAGGAAACTATAAGTACTGTTTGGACCACAGCGTTGAAAAACAAGAAGCCATTAGCATTTACTGAGGTTTTTTAGACAGATGTTGAAGGTGGGGCTTAGACTCTGAACCCCTTGCTCTAGGTCTCGCCTGAGTAAGTGGCAGAATCTGAATTTGAAATCAGTGTACTCAGTACAGGTGCATTCAACCAATGCAGTGCTGACAAACACAAGGAAAGTTAGTCACAACTCTCCTCATTATCATTATTGTAGAAGAATGGAAAATGCCATGATTATCCACTAGGATTTAATCTTAGTCTACCAAGAAATATTTCTCACTCACCTTTGTTGACAGATTTGTCTATCTTTAATTTTTTTAATGTTATTGACTTTACTACTAATAAAACTGAAACTCTTGCCTTTAAAAAAAATAAAAGGAGAGTCCTGACGCAGCACGTCTCAGCTGGCTGAGCATCATGCAGCAAAGGGAAATCTCTCTGGTTCGATTCCCTGTCAGGGCAGATGGCTGGGTTGAGGGCTGGTCCCCAGTTGGGGCCGGTGTGAGAGGTCACCCATCCATTCTTTCTCTCCCTCCTTTCTCCCGCCATACTAAAAATAAATAAATACAATCTTTAAAAATGAATTAAAAAGGGGGAGGAAGGAAGGAAATAAAAAGAAATAAGAAAAATAAGTTTTAATTATAACAGAACTTTTATTCCTATATACTTTATGAATGAGCTTTCAGAAAGTTTCCTGATTTTATCTCCTACTATTCATAAAAAAAATTTCTAAGCTATGAATTTCTAAAGATTTCATGATAGAAGTGTTTCATGTATTAGCCATTTTGTCCTTTTCAAAGCTTTTTGTACTTATTAAATTGTCTTCCCAGTGTTCTCTCTGCAATGACACTTTAATGTACTATTCATCACATCCATTTAGAAGAAGTCACCACATCCCGGCTTAGGTCCCACACTGCTTCCAGAACAACGTGTGTCAGTAATAAACAAAGTGGGTGCTTTCAATGAAAGTCTGCATTTTCAAGTACATTCGTTGCTTTGAGATATTCCCAGTGGGCATGACAGAATATTTACATTATCGTTTAATGGCCACACTCACTTCTTTCTAGGAGCAATTTTTGATGAATCTGCCAAAAAGGATGATGAGGTGTTTCGCACAGCAGTTGGCGACCTCAACCAGAATGAGGAGATCTTACAGACCGAGAAAATCACGTTTTCAGTGACATTTGTTGATGGCAACAACCCATTTCAAGCAGTCCAAGAAGGTAAGGTTCGTCAGCAGTCCACTTTTTAGAAGGTTTTTGTTTCAATTTGAATGGCATTAAAATTAGTTGTGTAAAAAGCTGTTGATTACAGATATTATTTTTGCCTCTTTGCTACATTGCTTCTCTTCAAAAGTGTTAATCCTGTATTCCACTTCTGCAAGGGCAGAGTGTGAAAAGGTTTTGGTTTAACTGAAATGTAATATTAAAGAAACATAGATATTTGCAATAAAAACTTTCCCATCTTTTATGATTTTAATGTGAATGAAACATTCCCAAAATAGGACTTTTCTATTTGAATTTTTACTTCTTTGAAAATATGCCACCTTGAATGTTAGTTACCACTTGTGATGACATTTCAGGTGTATCCAGACATATTGCTGGAAGGGAAATTTTTAGACACTTCATGGAAAACAAAGATCTTGTGCTGGGTTCTTGGCATAGACCTAGGCTTCTTTTTTTTTATTGTCTACAATATACCAAATATTAAAGCACTTTCCTCCATTAATTCTGTATGCTTGATTGGATTAAAATTTTTCATAGTTATAGTCATACAAATGCAAATTGTTTTATTATGCTGAAATAATCATTTGCGTGAATGAAGGTTTTGATTGAATGATATTACACTAATAGAATTTTAGTATTAATGGCATTATGCTAATAAAATATTTGGCCTTTGGATCAGCAAAACACTTGTTCCTGAAACTATTTGTTGCTAATCTATATTACATTTTATTATATTTAAAGTACATTTAAAAATACCAAAATAAAATTAATTTAATTAAATGAAGCATCTGCTTCATTAAAAACTTAAAAAAGAGGATTTGGCAGAAGAAAAGACAGATAAGGTACATTGTGTGGTAAAGTGTAGCAAGAAACTTTTTAAACACAAATATTGAACAGGTAAGGAAAATAAATAGAAGGTTTGTTTCTTCTCATGTGTTCTTTTCGTCAACGTTGTATCTGCATGATATACAGGTAAACTTTATCGGAATATGTTTTGATCAGTAGTAGCATTGGTTACCGTTGAAACTTACTAATGCTCACTCCCTCACTAACAGAATGAATGGAATGATTAGTGATCTAATGGATTTTCCTTCTCATTAATTGGATGAGTGGAAAAGGTATTGTTTTAATAAACAGAAGAGATTTAACTACTGTTTTTTTTCAAATAAGCTGTTTATAATAATATGTAATTTAAATTTTCAATTAGTAAACATCTATTTAAAAAGTTAGGTTAATATAAACATGCAGTTATTTACTTTTTAAAATCAGAAGTATTCTGGAAATTGGGGGCTTTAAATAAGGAATATGTTGATGGATTTTTCCATAGAATCATTGAAAAACTATCTAAATTAATATTAGAATTCATGAAGCAATCTGCAAAATAAGAAAGTTGAATTTGAGGAAAATAATAATGTAAAAAATTACATACTAGAAGAGTATGTTATTTATTTGAAATATATCTCTATGACATTTCTCTCTCAATTCTTAGTTTTAAAGACTGGGATGAGAGAAGTAAAAAATGAGGACCTATTTATTTATTTTTTGTGACAGTCTTCTGATTAACAATTTATTAATTTTTTTATAAATTAACTTCAATGCTAAAATGTCCATGCCTTTTAAAAATTCAACTTGGACTGAAAAGGTGTAGAAATAAAGATATGAAGACAATACAGTGGGTAGAAAGTAATTACAAAGTCTGAATAAATATGAATCTCGCAACTTTTTTAGAGACTATAATTTGAAAGGCGAAGACAATTCTTAAAATTGAAAAAAATCACATGGCATATTTTTGAAAACCTAGAGAATTATAGAAGTGTAAAGGGATCAGCACGATCTGTTTACATATCTCATTGAGTCACCATTGTACTGCCAGTTAAATTCTGTAAACAATAGCTCTCTCAAAAGAACCATTGTGAAGGGAAAGAATTTGTGGAATTGAAAGCAAATTGAGAGAGAAAATAAGTTTTAATTTTCTGAAATAGAGACCACTAGATATTTGTCAAGAAAGAAGAACGAGCTTGCAGTTTGCTTGATGATTTCTGATACTAACTGGGTGTTCTGGACCAGTTATTTTGAGGCTCTTCTCGAAGTACAAAAGCTCTGGAGCTAGTTTGTTTCTGCATTTCATATCCAGAAAGATCTCTGCTACTTTTAGAAGCAAAAATAAGTTTCTCTAGTTTTTTTTTTTTACAAGTGACTTGTTTGAACAAATAAGGGGAAATATTCACCTGAATGAGAAGATGAAAGAATTAAGAAGTGTTTTCTTAAATGTTTACAAGAAGTAATTTAGAAAGAAAACACAATTGTGTGATCAAAAATTGCCAGTTTTCTGTGATTCTATCATTTCTGTATTCCATTAAAATCTATAGGACAGAGGGTTTTAACAATTTGTTTATTTTTCACATTCTAAAGGAGAACAAAATGTTACTGATTGTTTACGCATTATCAGTCCATATGAACTTGTAACAACTTCATGGTTTTCAGTTCTCTCTCATCCTCTTTTTGCTTTTTTGTTTATTTGAATTTGAAAGTCTGATCCTGAACACATAGCATCAGCAAGCATGTAGATATTTGGTGATAATAACAAATGATAAAAGGATTGACCCTCAGATAGAGAAATAAGGTCTAAAAACCTAAAATCCTCCATTTACTTTATTTTTATAACTTCCTTCCACTAGACACATTTGCATCATTTTTTTAGTAATTTAAATTTTTGTTTACCTTGTTTAGCTACTACCTACACTTAATAGAGAAATTTATGATACATAAACAACTTATTTAACCCACACACTGTGATAAAGAGTGACGGCACTGATATAAAAAGCTCTTTTATAGCTGTGATTATAGTAAGTTTGTGCATAGTAATAATGGAACTAAATAATAAATCATTACTTTTAAGGTGAGTGTCTAGAAGATGATAACTTGGTTATAACTCAGGGTCAGTGTTCCTTTCTCTGGAGACCAGTGAATATATTGGATCAATGTCCTGTAACGTTAATCTCCATTCTTTTAGAAATGAATGGTAGAAAATAATTTCTCTTTTGGCACAAAAGTAATCTTGAAATAAGCTACCAATTTTCATAATTATTTTTTCTATATTTTGATTATATTTTTAAAAGCCATTGTACAGATTTTTATCTGCTGAGCTGTGGGGTGTTAACTAAGGAAAAATAATTTTTACATTTTAACTCAGGACATTTTTTTTGTAAGCTACTTTCTATCTGGGATTAAGCTTCTCCTTTAAGATGATATGTAAAAGAAAAAAATCACATGGCATATTTTTGAAAACCCAGAGAATTATAGAAGTGGAAAATTACATATTCCTAGTTGAATGTTCTTGATATATACATGAAGCAATTGAGACCAGAGTGATTAAGTAAATTTTCTACACAGCGCAAGTGTGAATAAGAGAAATAACTAAACTGAGACTTTCAAACCATTATTCTAATATTTTCCTTGCTGTATCTGCTAGCCGTATATGTGGGGAGGGCTCAGAATGTATTCTAAGACATCATTAAATTATGTGGGAAGTGAAAATGTATCAAATTTATGTTTTGACACTATTTATTTTTGACACTATTTGAGTTTTTTGATCTCATAGAATAGTAGACAAATTCTAATCTGGTTGATCAATACAATTTGCATTGGATAAATCGCTCTTGTTCTTTCATCTTGGTTTTCCTCATATATAAATAAGAAGTCAGAACATAAATGATGCACTTTTAAGGTCAGTTTTATTTCTGTGGATGAGATGTTTCACAACTCCCTAGAACACATTTCCAGATTTAGAACTTGATCACCATATAAGTTTCTCTTTAGAGAAGGACTCACATTGCTGAAGTTGCCTCCTAGTTTTTTTGTGTGACTGGCTTCAAAATAAATTAAAAGTATTTATACTACCTGTCCTCCTCTTTCCTACCTCATTCAACTATTCACTGCAATCTTTCTCCCTCTCCCAAAAAGAAAACAAACAAACAAACAAACCTGTATTGCTATCACCGTAATCCAGCAAGGCTTTTTATGCTAGTTCCATTGACCTGGACCAAAACAGTTTTTGCTGACCTTTTCTCTTTACTCCTCCTTTGTGATATCTGTTTACTGGATGTAACATAGATGCACAAATGTGTGGTGTGAGAGAGACTGTTTTCTCAACTAATAACAATAGCAATTACATATGTGGTCAGCTCTTAGCTGATACTCACAGCAGTATGGGCCACGAAAGGTGCTAATTTACAAGAAAAAATGTCAGGGTTGGTGAAGAGAGTGCAGAAATAGGAATCCATGTGTAATTGTTGCATATATTTTGTGTGCCTGGAAGGATATAAAACACTGTATGTTGTTATTGTATAGTCAGATTCATTTAAAACCATTTTAAATATTTGCTATTATTAAAAACACAACTAACAATGAAATACTAAGGGCAAAATTATATTGTAGAATTACAAATAACTAGATTTGAAAGAAATGGGAGTAACTATCATAAGTATCGTTCTTTCTGTTATATCACCAACCGTTATAAACAAGATAGTTACAAAAGTTGTTTTCAGCATATAAAGCAGTTCCAAGTTTCAGCCTGTTCTACCGTTAACATTCTCCTTAGTATTCTACAACGTGAATATTGATGACTCCCCCAAAGTTTGTAAGAATATACACCTCCTTTTTAATGCAGTGACATTCTCAGTTGTGTTCACCTATTATATCTTCCAAAATAAAATAAGTTTAGGTGTTACAACAGACTTTTATGATTTATAAAAATCAGCCTCATTTCTCTATAATTATGTGTAAAAGACACAAGTATCCATGTCATGTGTGTAAAGGGGATAATAGGAGTGTAATTTAACCAAAAAGATTGTAAGGAAATCTAAGTAGAAAAAAAACACTTCTCCAAAACACATCACCATTCAGTGTGAATATTTCTGGTGACATGGGCTAAATCCGAGTAGCTTGGTTTAAAGAGCATATAAATGTAAAAGAATGATTTATGCAGTGACACTATT